GGGGGGAGAGGGGGCTGAAAGGAAGGGCCGGAAGCAGAACCAGCCCCCGAGGTCCACTTTTCTGCTGGTGTTGGGCAAACTAAAGGCAAAGAAAGGAAAAAAGCCCAAGGGAAAGGTCCCTCAGTGATAATCCTCGTCCACCTGTAAAGCAGCCCCTCAGCTGCGACGAGACTTTGCAGCCAAGAACGGAGCTCTTGCTTCCGCAGCGCAGCCGGCACTCGCTCACTCGTTTCTCAGGGAGTATGAGGTCTTCCCGAGTGGAGGGTGGCAGGGCCAGGTGGGAGGGAGGAGGGAGCCTGTTCTCCACTGGGCCCGGCTCGCACTATTTCCACGTGGCTGACTGGGGGATGGAGCGTGGCGGGATCATGTCCAGGAGGTACTCCCGCTGGCGGTCCACAGCTGAGGAGGTCTTGTGCACTGCCAAGCTCGGGCTGACAAACGCAAGGGCCCCGCCTGCAAAAGAACAGAATGACAGGGTTTTTAATGGTATGGTAATATTCTCTCATGAAAACATTAAGAGGGAACAGGATGGTGACAGAGCATGATGCCTCTGCAGGGCACTCAGTTACACACAAGGAACACAGCAGTGAAGAGGCAGAATGGGGAAAAAGCCTCGAAGTATAGCTTTTGTTCTCCTGGGATAGAAACACCATTCTCTTCTTTTTGTATTCTCCAAATTTCCCCAATGAGCAAGCATCTCTTTTACAAGTGGAAAATAAACAAATGACCCCCCAATCTCCGACACACACAGATATTTGGCTGGCCTGGGGGTAAGGACTGCCTTATCCCCTGCCCCCATCACTGTGTTACCCCAAGAGTAATTTGGTGGAGGTTACTACATTTTGTGGAACAAGTGTTCTGAGGTCAAATGCAATAGGGAAACCTCTCTACATACTAAAGAGAAACCTGACTGGGTCCTGCCCAGAAACCAAGGGTAACCTGGAGTGCTGGTAGAACTTGTTTGGGAAATACTGCTTTTAAGCTACTACACATTTACCTCTAGTCCTACTGCTGAACATAGCAACTACTTATTCCTTCATATTCCTTTTTTTTCATATTCCCTTTCAAAGATTACCTTAAACGCGCGATTTTCACATGTCTGCTACCACTGTGTACACATGCACACACCTGTATCTGATTTTGTATACTTCCAAATTTCCCATAAAAGGAATTTTCAAACAGCTATGAATTCTTAGCTGCATCTTACACATGCTGCACAAAAGCCTCTCTGCCTGCTTATGTTTACAAATGCTCTCTAGGCTACTCAGATTCTTTTGCAACCAGACAAATGTACTCCCTCTCCTGAGCTTCACCCGGTGGAAGGCTCTGATTCTTGGCCACATTTCTAACTCTATGGTCAGCTGCACACACAGCTGACTCCCGTGTTTTGTTTGCAGAGCCAGTCTGGCTTTCCCAGTTCTCCCTAGGGAGAGGACTCTCATGATGTCACCTCCTTTTTTTCTACAGGGATACAGCAAACTTGGGTGGGGGGCAGGGAGGGGCACTGGCTCCCATAGTGAAAGTGCTCACCTGTCTCCTTCTCTCAGCCCTTTGTGCCTACCTTTCACTTTCCTGTTTTTGATAGAAACAAATATTTAAATATCACCTTAATGCTGGCACATAAATAATTAAAAACAGGGAAAGTGGTGTGGGCATCGACCCAGGGATGATGGGACTGTGACAGACTAGGGAATGCTCACCCGATGGTATCCCCCTCTGAGTTGTTCCTCAAATGTGGTTTTCTCAGAATCCTCTGCCACCCACCCTAGTTAAATCTTAGCCCCTGCCTCAGGGATCTTTCCCCTATCTACCTTCCCACCGTCTTGTTCCCTGGTTTACACTTTGCACCACCTGACCTAAGTCAGAGGGTGGGAAGTGTCCCACAGAGCAGGGAATGAACACTATCTGGCTGAACAAGAAATTAAGTTAGTGCACCAGAAAAAGGTACAACATAACAGCAAAACAGGTGTTCCCTATGGCAGGAAGGGGTGGGGGGACCAGAATTGGCAAGGTAAGTGTCTGTGCTGACAGATGTCCACTGGATGGTGTGTACGTGTGTGTGTGTGTGTGTGTGTGTGAGAGAGAGAGAGAGAGAAAGAGAGACAGAGACAGACAGACAGACAGACAGACTACACCTAAACTGGGTTTGCCCAACATTTTGGGTCAAGAGCTAACAGTATAGGTATAGAGCGCACAAAGGATGGAAATGAGTATCTACCCAAGGCTACCACTTGTTCGGAGTATCCTATTTGGTGAACAGAGATCAAGCTGAAGAGTCAAGAGCAGCTGCTCTCAGGGAACAGGTCTGGGGTTTCAGGGCTCTATGCACCATTTCTGTTCACTTGTATGTGTGCAAGTCCTAGACAAAAGCAAGGAAGGGATGGACCTCACCGTGTGCGGGTGGCTCACCTGTACTCAGGGGTGCCTTCTTCCAGTTGGTGGAGGCGCTGCCCTTGCCGGCGCTCACAGCTCTCTCGGAATGTCTGCCGGTCCTGCTGACAAGGGCTGTGGCTGAGGCTGCATTCTGCAGTTTGGGTGACTGGCTGAACGTGTGCAGGACACCACGGGGCGTTGTGGCCGAGCCCCGGGACAGCTGGCTGGAGGCCTACAGTGGAGAGAGGGTGTGATGGCTCATGTGGGGAAGGGGGTGACAGAGGGCGAGACGCTCAGCGCAGCCTCTCCGTGCTCTGGCTGACCTCTTCCCACCCACACAGGGTCCCTAAAGTCCAAAATCAGGAGACCAGGTAAGTTACACCAAGGGGGGAGGGGAAGGAGGGAGGGAGAGAGAGAGAGACAGATAGACACAGGCAGCGTGACAGTCGGCGACTGACGTGGTCACGGTCTGGGGCGTGAGGGCTGGTTGGTGGCGCGGTGCAGGGACTCCCGGCACCGCAGTTCTGACCTGTAGCACAGCCCCGTTACTCCAGTCGCGGGCCTCTCCTGAGCGGAACGCCAACTTACGCCGGGGTTTTATGACCTATACAAACGGGGGGGAGGGGGGGGTTGAAATCGAGGTCAGCACCATCCACAGCCGGCCTAGGGTGACCTAGAGTGACCAAAGGGCAGCAGCTGTGGCCACACGAGGCCTAGTCCCCACGGGACGGGCCGTTTCCCGAGGGCAGTACAGCCCCCCACTATATAAGGATCTTGAGAAGATGTGTTTATTAGTGAATTACAAATGACTTCCGAGGACACAAAAAATTGCCAACGGGGTGCTTTGGGTCTACAGGGGGTGGGAAAGCAAAGCATTAAAAAAAGCAGCCAAAAAACTTGATTTCAAACTTGCTTCTCTCCTTAATTTAGCTAGAACATTTCTTCCAAATGCCCCTTTTGCATCTCAATGTGGCTTTCAGAAAAGTCCTTTTAGACAAGAAGTACTTGTCAGCCGGAACACTGCACGTGAAAGCTACAAAATCTAAAGAAACTGCAAATTAGTATTTTCACCACCAAAGGCCACCATTAAATGCAATTTAGACACACAGTTAATAACCAGGCAGAGGACTGCCCAGTGTGGGACAGAACGTCAGAACATCTTGCTTGCTAGCAACAACTCCCTGCCAAGGGAACAAGGCCCCTCTCCTAGAAGGTGAGGCCGCCCAGCCCACGTTCCCAGGCTGCAGGGCCGCAGCTTTGGCTCCCCAAGGACTCTCACCTGCTTTAGCGCGGGGTGTGGGGCGGCGGCAGGCTCAGCCTTGGCCTGTGCGGGGGCGGCACCCTGTTGCAGGAGGCGCTGCTCAATCTCCTGCTCTTGCTGCAGAGCCTTCACAAAAGCAGCCTTCAGCCGGCTCGTGTGCTCTACCTTGAGTGCCTTCTTCTGGTTGGATGCCATGCAGTTCTCGCACATGATGGCACCACCCTTTTCCTCCCGCCAACGGCACGTGAAGTCCGTCTTGCACTGCGCACACATGTAGGGCTCCCGGGACAGAACAGCAGCAGCCGACATCCTGCCCGCTGCAGGGAGAGGTAGGTGGGCTCACGTCACAGGAACAGGATACGAGTCAGAGCCCCTATCATCCCAGGACAGGATGAGGACATGTGACTGATCTGGAGCATTGCCCTGGACTATATGGCCCAGCTGGCATCAGGAAGCCAAATTCTAAGACATTGTTTGGCACACACATATTGGCGCCAACTGTGTGTGGACATTAGGCCAGCCTTGGGCTTTGGGGAAGGTTTGCTGATAGAAGATAAGTTAAGCAGCTCTGGAAAATGCCATGGATTAGGTGCACTGGGTACCAACTCTCAAGAACCTTAGTGCTCTCTAGTGAGCCTGGGCTTCTCAGTTGGCTAGGTGTGTGCCTTCAGCTCAGGTCATGATCCCAGAGTCCTAGGATCAAGCCCCAGGTCGGCCTCCCTGCTGAGCAGGGGAGTCTCCTTCTCCCTCTCCCTCTGCAGCCCCCTTTGTGCTCTTTCTCAGATAAATAAATAAAATCTTAAAAAGAACAAAAAGTCTCTCAGATTGTCTCCTCCTGACTCTCTTTCCTACCCTCCCACACCTCCTCACAGTGAAGAGGAGGTAACCCTCCAGGTCCCACCTCACTGTGACAGGCGTCCTTGCTAGTGGGCGAGTCAACTAAGGACTAAATTATCCAGTAAGTGCTCCTGCTGACAAGTGTCATACCCAGTGTCTTGTGCATACAAAGGTGTTCGATTCTCACAATAACCTCCTAACAGGGCACCCCACCCTGTTATCTTGAGGAGGAAACCAAGGCTGAGGAGATGAAGTGACTTGCAGAGTCACATGGCAGTCGTGGCAGGGCCAAGACTCACATGTGCTGCCCAGATGAGGGCACACAACTGCTCTGGGTCCTTGGCCCCCTTGTCTGAGAAATGGGAACACTACATCCCCTCAATTGGCCACAGGAAGGGTGACTGGGGAAGCCAAGTAAAGTACATGCTCAGGCATGGGATCAATATTCTTTTCGTCACTGAAAGTGAAGTAAGGAGGGGGAGCCTGGGCGGCTCGGTCAGTTAAGGGTCTGACTCTTGATTTCAGCTCAGGTCATGATCTCGGGGTTGTCAGATTGAGCCCTGCATTGGGCTCCACACTCAGGGCGGAGTCTGCTTGTCCCTCTCCCTCTACTCCTCCTCCCGCTCGCTCATTCTCACACCCTTTCTCTAAAATAAATAAATAAATAAAATCTTTAAAAAAAAAAAAAAAAAGAAAGTGAAGGAAGGGGCACTTTTTGCATTTTGTAACTATCTTTTTTGTGTCTAGAGTACTCAAGGGTTTAACTTCCTCTTAATATCAGAGACACTGCTGCCAAGAGACCCTTGGCCTCTCTCTCCAGCCCCGGGCCTGCCCAAGCTGCCCCTGAATGCTGAGAGGCTGGCTGTACAGGATCAGACTGGGGGAGCCCCTCACCCCAGGCCCCTAGCTCCGGGCCCTCACCTACAGCTATCATGCTCTGGTGAAAAGAGCACATCACCTTCCAAACGTCCAACCCTAGAAGACATAGTACCTCTTTCTAGGCAGCTGTAGTAGGCATGACCAACATCAGAGTGGAGACACTGGTACGAGGCTGGACTTAGTCACCCAGCCTGGGGCTCTAGGAGGTATCAAGGGACACCTCAAAAGGGGCTCAGAGCTTCCTCCCACAGTTAGATCCTGTTCTGGGCAATACGAGAGGGATACTGACTCCTGATAGAGACAGGCTGATTGGGAAGAGCAGATGCCCAGGGCACCCAGGTACAGATGGGTGGGCATTGTGTCCTGACTTGGGCCTCCCACCACCCACCCATCCTGCACTGGCCTCATAGCAGCTCTTCTGCCAATATCACGCCATCATAAAGATGACACCAAAAGGATCCAGACACATCCAAGCCATGTGAGAGCTCGCACCCTTCCCTCCTGGGCCTGGCCCCCTGACAAGTGGAAGCCACCATGGCCAATTTTACAGAGGCCAATGTTGGCCCTATGTGGTCTCCCACTCTCAACCTGACTCATGGTCAGTCCTTGATATGGCCCTGTGGTTGGGGAGTATTTTAAAAGCAATGGGGTTGGATGGGTGTGTGGGTGGGGTACAGTAAGGAAGCTATAAGTAAAGTTGAGGTGACCAGCTGGGCATCCTCTGCCCTGGGTCTGGCCCCCAACCAGGTATGGAGGGCTCTACCTCTAAGAGGCATTGGATACAACATCCAAGGATATGATATATACTCTGTGATATACTGACTAAAGAGGGGGAAGAGAGCACTCCCTCCAACACCCTGACACCAAGCAGGCAGAGGGTGCTTTTCCTCTGTACAGGCCCCATTGCTGTCACTCCCAAGTCTGTGCTGGTAAGAGCAGCCCTGGGAGGGGTTGGCATGTACCAAGGGACAATTCAAGGTATGTGGTCTGAAGCCTACCAGGCCCTCCCTTGCCCTGGACCAGTTACAGCTCCACCTCCTCCTCAGCTCTGAGCATCTGCTGAGATCATGCAGGGAGAGGATTCAGGCTGGCTGCCCAAATAGTATCACCACAAACTTAATCTCAGAGCAGAAACATCTTCAAATCGTCTGGTGGAGGCCCCTCAACCTGGCCTCCCACCTCCATTTCCAATGTTACTTTTGATCGCAACCCTATATATGCCCTTTTTATCCCTAAAACCTCCTAACATGCAAGTGGTGCTTTCCAAACTGTTTCCAAGGAGGATAAAGTGAGTCTGGCCCAGGCATGGGTGTCCCTTTCCTACCTTCAGGGCTCAGAGTACTCAAGGCTCTGGGAAGTTCTAGCTGGAGAGACCCATCTGGAAGCAAAGCCTGTCAGCCTCCTGCAAACGTTCCTTCTCATCCCTCTCTGCCTGCCCCAGTGTTATAGAACAGCACCCCCCTCAGATCATATGTGCAGGGCCTTGGGCTTCCCCAGGGCCCAGCTCTCAGAAGAGGCCCCAACAAGAGAAGAAAGGTGACTGTGATATGTTTAAGAAGTTATCTAAGGTGATAGATGGGGACCACATTTATTGTGGTGAACACTTAATAACCTATAAAATTGTTAAATAAATGTATAAATGATACTATATCATACACCTGAAACTAATGTAACAATATATGGCAACTATACTTCAATAATAAGTATTTTAAAAAACGTAAAAACTAATGGGGCACCTGGGTGGCTCAGTTGCTTAAGTGTTAAGTGTACAACTCTTGATTCTGGTTCAGATCATGATCTCAGGATCATGAGACTGAGCCCGGTGTTGGGCTATGCTCGGAGCATTAAGTCTGCTTAAGATCTGCCCCCTCCTGCCCATCCCCCCCCGCCCCTTCTCGCAAACGCTTGTGCTCTCAATGAATGAATGTAAAAACTAAAACAAATAAGCAAAAAGTTAAGCCTCACAGAAAGCAGGAGGACTAATAACAAAAGGTCATCCATAAGATGCTCCACCCCAGACAGCTCTCAGCATGCAGCAGGCATTGAAAATAACCTATGTAAGAGAAACTTCAGTGGCAAGAGATGAAAATGGCCCCAAGGCACTCACCTTGGGTCTCTAGCAGGTTCTGCACCACTTCCTCCAGGCCGACCAGGTAGATGAATTCGTTGTTGGCAGCGCTGGGTAGGAAGTTCATCTCCGGGGCAGGGGGCTTGGGAGGGGGGATTTCAAGCAGCGTCTTCTCCAGCTGTTTGCGCAGCGCAAGCTTGGCAGCTGCCTGACGGCTGGCTGGAGAATCAGCAGAAGTGACCACAGAGGCCACGCTGGTGGGGGTGGAGTTGGCCTGAGCAGAGGTGGCTGTCGTCCCTTTCAGCGACGCTGGGGAAGGCTTTTGGGAAATAACAACCTGGTTAGGGTGCTGGGGGTGCCTGATCCCACAGCCCAGGATGGCACTGTTGGCTGCACTAATGAGTCTTTAAGGTAGTAACTCCGAGATGCCGGACATCAGCAAGCCAACAGGCAAAGCAGCATTAAACTCATCACCGTATGAAATGACCAATCTTATAAAACATACTTGTTGAGGTTTAGCTGATATCCAACAAGTATACACATTTACAATCTGTATTCTGTGTTTTGCCACATAAGGACACCTACGAAGCCATAGCCATTACCACGACCAGGGCAATGGGCAACCCCGCTCAGGCAACCTGGCCACTGTCCCAACACTATGGCCTAGCAGCCTTCCTCCCAGCACAGGTCTAGACGGCTGCCTTCTTCACAGGGGTATGACAGCGGATCACTACAGCACTGGTGGCATTTCCTTCATGAGCACCTTTGTATGTGGTCGTCTGGAGACTCTAACGTTTAACTTACTTCATGTGTCCTCATTGGGGTTATAGGGAAGAAGAGCTTTTGGACCAACTCCTGTCCCGCCCCTTCCCCCCTCTTGATTTTTGGTGTTCCTATACTACTTTCTTGTCTTCATCTGGACCCCAGTGGCCAATGCTCCGTTGTCTCCTTGTTCTAGCTCACCCAGCCCCCAACCCTGTCAAGTGCTTTTCCCCAAACCCAGAGCTGATCACACCAGTGCCCTTTTGTGGGGTTGAGGACCCTTCTGAAAATCTAAGGAAAGCAGCATACGCCACCCCCGGGAAAACACACACACCTGACAACTTGCACACAACACATCATAGGACTCAGGGAGCCCAGAATGGTTTCCTAGGACCCCCATCCTCACAGAGGGTCTCCAGAGCGAACAGGCCTCCCAACATAGAGGACACCAGCCATCACAGTACCTCAGCCTGGCCTGACTTTAGAGAAGGCAGGGATGCTGCTCAGAACTCTGCTGGTCAGGCTCTTATCTGAGGGAGGCAGACAAAGATGCACCACGCCAGAGGAGGAAGAGAAGCTAATACACCCATCAGCAAAAGCCCCTGCAGACCCAATAATTTTATCTGTCAATAAAGCTCTTGCTTCTAGCCTGCCCACTCACCCTGGTCCCATCTTCCTGGCTTTGCTGGGTGGGAAGAGACCCACCCCATCTCAGAGGCTCTGTACAGAGGTGAAAGGACTCGTGGCTAAGAATAGATGTGCTGGTGCTGTGAGGACATTTGCAGACATGCTCCCCTCATGTGCTCATGCAGACAGGGAGGAGGGTGGGGAAAGCTCTGGTGCCCCTCCACCATCCCAGCCATCTCCAGGCCTCATCCATCCCCCAAAACATGCTGGGTCCCACACGCCACCTGAAGCCTCCCCCCAACCCTTCAGCTCAGGTCTGCACCTCTCCCCTTCTCAATACCTATCCACCTCTGCTAGACCATAGTTCTTAACATAGTGGACTCTAGCCCATGACTTTTATACCGCGACAGGCCCGGAGGAGCTCCAGTCCAAACCCCCATGCGGCATCTAAGGCCTTGCCTGGCTCTGAGGGAGCAGGCAGGTCACACCATACCACTCTGGAGACCTGACTATGCCGTAGGACTGGGCACCCTTGATGTGTGTGTGGGTAGGGGGTGGGGTTAGGTTAGGTCAGCACAGCCCTCACCTGTGGGATGTTGACAAGCAGACTGGTGTTGGGGACGTTGGCGACGCGGATGAGGCCCTGCTGGATGATCCTCTGTCCCTGAATTTGCACACTGGGCACAGATGCCCGGGGGGCCAAGAGGAGCGGCGGCGGCCCCGTGCTGGAATGTTGTCTGATGTTGTGGATTTGCTGTGGGGTGGGACAGAGGACAAGATGATGAGAGGGATGGGGCGCCTGGGTGGCTCAGTTGGTTAAGCATCCAACTCTTGATTTCGGCTCAGGTGCCCCCCACCACGTTGGGCTTTACACTGGGCATGGAGCTTTAGGATTCTCTCTCTCTCTCCATCTGTCCCCCCACTGCACTCTCTCTCAAAAACAAACAAAAAAACAAAACAAAACCCCAAAAAACGAACAGCTTTTTTAAGGCTGAATAACATTCCACTGTATGGATACCTCCCCACACACACACACTCTCTCTTCCCTTCTAAAAAAAATTATTAAAAAATGAAATAAAATAAATAAAAAGATGATGAGAGGAACAATGGAGGGAGGGAAGGGGTGGGCCCCATAATCTCCAACCTGATGACCAGGAAGGGTTCTTTGTGAGGTAGCTGGTTGGAGTAGTCTAGACACATTCTTACACCCCACAAGCATACCCTGCTCACCTGAGCCCCCCTGACAAGTGGGGGCATGACGACCTGTGAGCTCGCCTGTGGTCCCAGCTTCGAGGACACCTGCTGCCCGCCGCGGACCAGGGGTGGTGGGATGACACTGCCAGGCATTCTTGTTGAAGAGGTCTGTCAACAGCACCAAACCCCAGATTTTATATGGCTTTTTTTTTTTTTTTAAACAAACAGGTTTGCTGTTTTGTAAAGTACACACTTGTTGGCGGGGGGGAGGGCACTAAAATGTCTATTTACTCTAAGCACAAAAGAACAAAGAACATGGATAACAACCACAGCCGTGCAGAATGGACTCACTCAGGAGTGAACTGCACCAACAAGGCAGGACATTCTCACCCACACGACCCCCACCACAGCAGAAGTCCAGCTAACCCGGGCTGGGTGTCACTTTCTTGCTGGTCTGAGCTGAGGGCACAGGCCTGTTTGAGGGAAGGTGGGCCCCTGTTCAGACCTTAGTCTTGTGTCTGGGAGTGGGAGCTCTGCCCATCTCACCCTGTGGGTAGGAGGTCCTGCTGGGTCCCACAAACTTGGGAGTGTCGAAATGAAAGGAACCTGGCCTGCCTAAATCTTGGTCCTCTCTCCGATTTTGCTAGGAGCAGTCATAGGAGGAGACCTCTCAGCACTGGCATGATTTGTTCATGATGTCAACAGTGGCCTAAGTTTGGGCCTCACTCCAATCTAATCATATGGAATGGGCAGCCTTTCACAGGAACTGGATCAGGACTGCTCAGGAGCCTAACGCAGAGGGAACACTGACCTGAAGGGATGGCTTGCCAGAAGGAATGTTCTGGGTGCCCCGCACAAGCGGGGGAGGGGTGGTCACGGCACTCCCAGCAGAGCCTGTGGGCTGTAAGAGAGCAGGACATGTGAGAGACGAGGGAGTCGTCAGCCCCACTCCCCTCACACACAATCCAGACAGAGTAAGATTGGTTTTCTTCTTCTTCCAAAGGCATCAGGCTCTAAGGTTCTGCTTCCCGCCTGCTAAAGTCTGTAGCAGGAATTGACTCGCTTGAAATGGGCATAGGAGAGATTTTCCAGCACCCCTCACCCCTGGGGATGCTTGACATCACATTATGGTTCAAGAGCAGGTTTTGCCTTCCAGGGGATGTGAAGAGCCAGGGATGATGACTGAGGCAAAGGACCCCAGGCCTGAACAGATTAATCCCAACCTTGGTGACAAACACCAAGTCCAGGCACTTCTTAAAGTAATATATTCCACTAGGTAAGGGACAGGGGCAGACTTGGTTCACTCCACTGAGTCTTAAACAACTGGAAAGGAAACAAGTAATAGGCAGACTCTGTCCACTAGCAGATTAATAGATGCCAGGCCATGTCCACTTATTGACATATGTTCAAGTGAAAGCTCGAGCAAAGCCCTAAGTGAGACCAATGAGTATCCTCCTGTCCTGCTCCCTTAAGGGCACTTGTGTTCTATATACTCTGTCAGCTCATACTGTCCAAGACACATTTACTTCCTGGTTTACTGAAATAGTGGTTAAAGTAAAAGGAAGGGTAGCTTTAAAAAACCCAACAAAACAAACCAGACCTTGGCCTAACAGTAACCTGCATTTAGAAGCAGCAAAAGGAGCCTCAGACACCAGGGGAGATAGGGGGAGGAGCCCCAGGACAGAGACTCTGGGGCCTGGGCAGCACTGTGGCATGCCCCTGCAGCATTAGGGAATCTGTCCACAAACCATGGTAGCCCCTGATGGCCAGCATGGCCCACCCACAGAATAGGAGGCCTCTCTGTAAATGGGTTTGGGAAAGAGCTCTTAACCCAGAACTTCCAGCAGCTTCTAAGACATCTGTTCTCTGTTTTCTTGATGCTTCCAACCTACAAGGAGTTTTACATACTCAGATCGAGAATATTCTAAACCAAAACGCACTATAATATCCTTACTCTGACTTCCTTTTCGCAAAATCTGTAATTCAAATTTCCATTTCAGACCTTGACCCTTATGCCCCTGAGGAAACTTGTCTGCCTGTGACCAGCTGCTCCTGTTCCTGGCACTGAGGTGGGCCAAGGTACTGAGATTGGATTTCCGTCCCGTTTTAACTGGCTCCTGCTGACTCTTGAGGAGAGAGTGGACACACACACACCTTCTGGGCGGTAGTTTCCTTTTGTATTTGACTCTGCCGCAACTTTTTTAATAAAACGAGTTTTGCTTCTTCTAATCGTAACTCTTCTTTCAGTTGCTTAATCATCCTTTCTCGTTCCTCAGGACTGCTTTTCTGCAAGGGCAAGAGAAGAAGGGTTGAAGGGGAGAGCCACAGCCGGGGAGCACAGGCCCCACCAACACCAACGCCACTGGGGGATATTGTCGGGCAGGGTCATCCCCCAACATGGGGGCAAGGCTCACCATGAGGGCCTCGGTACTGGTCTCCTTCAAGGCCTCCTTCGTCAGCCCATTCACCCTTGGGCTTGCAGGCTGCTCATTGTCAGAGAGCACAATCACATCAGGAGAGGGGGCTCTCCTCTCAGACTTCATGTCACTGTGGAGCAGGGAAAGCAGGTTGTTACCAGAGTGCCTGGATGCTCTGCCAGACACTGTTCCCCAGGGCCTGGCACCCATACACCACAGATCCCAGATTTAGACACAGTCACAGCAAGGAGGTGGAGAGCATGGCTGCCCCACTCACTCTCCCCAGCCTCTCTCTTTGGGCGTTCTCCCTACCATACACCCAAACTGACTTCTCTCACTGTACTCACCAAGAGGCACCCAAACCCACAGCTAGGCCCCTAGCCAGGACTATTCTTGGTGCCCACCTCTGTGTACCCAGGGCTGAGGACACCTGTGTTCAAGTGTGATATGGCCATTTTGGAAAACACCGCAGCTCCCTTCTCTACCATGTGGCTCAGTGTCCAATAAAAATGCTCAGCTTGAGGGGCGCCTGGGTGGCCTAGATGGTTAAGTGCCGACTCTTGACCTCAGCTCAGGTCGTGATCTCGGGGTGATGAGATCGAGCCCTGTGTAGGGCTCCATGCTCAGTGCGGAGCCTGCTGGAGATCCTCTCCCTCTGCCCCCTCACCGATTGCACAGGCACACATGTGTGTGCGCATGCGCTCTCTCTCAAAATAAACAAAATCTCAAAACAACAACAACAACAACAACAACCAGGATCCTGGGGCTGAGGCAGGGTCTTTCTTGGCCCCTTGTCAGGGCTCCTGTGGTGTGACAGTGTGATGCTGAGCTACTATGTCGCTGACCCCACATACAAGGTCCCAGAGACAGTGCTTTGCCCCCAGCCAAGCAGCTGTTTGCTGAGGGCCCAATGTAAACTTTCCCTTAAGACCTGGCCTCCACTTGTGTTGAAGAATTAGTATCCTTTTCATCAGTAGGAAAACCAGCAGAGGACCAAACAAACCCACTAGGTGGCACTGTGACCCAGTGAACAAACTCAATAAAGTTAACTGGGAGAAACAGCTCTAGTTGTCCCACTCCTCCTACTAGACCCCAGCAAAGCAAGGACAGAGTTATGGATGGAGAACTAGTTTTAATAGCCCACTCAACTGCCTTTTCCATTCCTGGAATGAGCTCTGTCTTTAGGGAAGGATGGGCACAAAGGACCAAATGCTGAGGGTTCATGTGTGCCCCTGGAACTTTCCCCCCAACCAGGGCTCTTCCATCCCTCCTAAAGAGCCACATGGTGGCTACACCTCAATACTCCTAACCTTGATTTGATTTAACCACTGCAGCTGTTGGCCGAACTCTCACAAGAGATCAGGGGAGTGGACGAAAAGGTGCCATTTCAAGATATACAGTCTCCTCACTGGGGTGATTAATTTACACTCTCAAGTCCAGAAACTAGCTGGCTATTTATAAAGTAACCCAGAATGTCACATTCAGGCCTCACCAAACCAAAGACCAATGCAATTTGGGAACCACCACTCATTCTGTATGTCTCCCTGCTAACTGCCCACTCTGCCCAAGATCAACTTTCAAGGTGACCTCAGGGCTCCAACTATCCAGGTTCTCTGGATGCAGACACAGATATTGAGGGGTAGTGCAAGGCCCCAGCACACGAGCTGTAGCCACTGGTCCCAGCCCAGGTGAGCTCCCAGGTGGCTGCATGCAGACAGAGCAGCAGCCCAGGCAGAACCATGTCTAGAACTGCAGACTGCAGGCATATCCTGAGCAAGAGTGTGCGGAGACAATGGTGATCACTTTTTGTCATCTTACTGAGGGGCATGCACTTTTTCTGAAGGTCTGAGAGGTCTAACAAAACTCAAATCTGCCTGAGGGAAGAGGGCAAGCTGAGGGACCGAGACCATCTGGAGGCTGAAGCTTCCTGAGATGGCTACTCTGACCACAGCACTCCCAGGTCTCATCTTGGCCTGAGAGTAATCAATAACTCATCCAAAAGATGACGTCACCCCCACCCCCATCAATGATCACTCAGCATCCCAGCAGCCAGCAGGGAGTGAACTTCCTGTATGCTAATCAGCCACCAAAAAGTCACGTGACAAAGGCATTTCCCTCCTTTGTCATGTGACCCTTTAACTGTGCCTTCCAACATGAAAACCATGGCAACAGCCAGTTCTAACCGGTTTGTGACACACAGCCTTCATTTTGAGAAGTGAGGTAGGGTTCAGGTGCTGTCAGAAAATGGAGGCACCCAGCTTACCCTGGGGCTGCCCAGCTGCAGGCACTTCCTATGTGGCGCCAGAGCCACAAGAACTGTTGGTGTATTACAGGGGCCAGGGCCACCTCTTCCAAAACACAGAGAAGCCACCAGCCCCTCTAGTTACCCACATGGAAAACTTTCCTAAGCTCAATTTTTAAAGTAAAGGTGCTTCAAAAGTCTTCTCAGTACTTTCATGGGGAGTTCTTTTAATTCAAGAGAAAGAACACCCCATGTGACACAGGCTAGAAATTACTATGGGCATTCTTTTAAAAAAAATTGTTCTAAATTATAAAACCATTTAGGCAGAAGGACAAAAGCAGAGGAAATCTAGCCCAACATGCCAGGGGGATGGCACTGTGGTCAGGTACACTGCTTTCCTACTTCAGTCCATGGTGGGCACGTGTGCACCAAGTTTATTTGGAAGCTACATGATTTCAAGGCAAATCCAATAAGCCCATCCTGCCCATCTTGGGAACTCTTGCGTAAAATATTATGATCAAAAGAGATTTTATGTGACCTATGAAAATTCCTGGAAACAGACCATGCTTTTATCAACAAAAACGGGTCTCATCACCTCCTCCCCTGTATGCCAGCCCTGGCTAAACACAAAAGTTCTGTCACTTGCCTGGAACTTTCATCAAGTTTCCTAGAGGGAAGGCAGAGATTATATAATCTTAACTCAATGACAGATCCCATGTTCACAGCACCAGGCTACCATCCCAACTGCTCACCAACCAGCAGTGTGTGCAAAGTTAAAATTTAGTGTCCTCCCAGCCCATTCCAGGGGAAACGGCCTCATCAAGAGAACAGAGAAACCGTCGTTCTTGGCAGCTGTAACCTTTGCTGTTCTCTGAAAGGGCTTGCCTGATGTATGGGAAAGGGACACTTCGTCCACACTTGTTCATTCACTCACTCACTTGTATTTGCTAAAAACCTACTAAGAAAGCAGGTGAAAAAAAAAAAAAAAGAAAGCAGGTGCTGTGCCAAACAGTAGGGATAAATCCCTGGATAAAAGGCAGTTCTGTTCTCAGGATCCATCAGGAGGGACAGACCCCCCGAACCAGAAGGGGAGGGGCAAGTAAGGGCATATCCACAGGTGGGAATGGACCACCACTTGCCTTGGCTCACTGAACAGCAGGGAAAGCTTTATTTTACTGGAGCTCGAAGAAATGCAGCATCTTGCTACCCCAAAGACCTGCTCCATCAAACACTGCATTTCACAAGATCCCCAAGATTCTTTTTTGTTTTTTTTTTTAAGATTTTATTTATTTATTTGAGAAAGAGCACAAGCAGTGGGGAAGGGCAGAGGGAGAAGCAGACTCTCCCCTGAACAGGGAGCCCAATGTGAGGCTTGACCCCAGGATCCCGAGAGATCACGACCCGAGCCGAAGGCAGATGGTTCAACCGACCGAGCCACCCCAGCACCCAATCCCCAAGATTCTTGCACACGGTAGGGAAGCTAAAGAGGACTGTAGGCCCAATGAGGGCTCAGGACAACAAATTCCACCTCAGGGCCAGCCTGAGGAGACTGGTATGGCCAGCCACAACCATTCCCTGCCAGAACCCTCTCTCTTCCCCTTATCTGTTGGGCCTCGCTGGGTGGGGAAAGACAGGTAACTACTTACTAGCAGTGTTTAAGGGTGGGGTGGGGGACACTGCTAGACCAAGCACCAGCCTCACCCATTCCTGCAAACACTCACCTTGGCTCCACCAGACCCTCCCCCAGTGTGTTCCTCCACTGGAGCCCATTCACACCCCCCAGGCCAAGCCGATCAACTGGCTTTTCCAGCTCCCAGCCCCTGTACCCCAGGCTCCTACTCACAGATACATCCTGCCTGGGTTCCTCCTGCCTTCACTACGGGTCCCTCCATAGAATGTCCCTCCACCACACTCCCAAGGCCCCCATGTGAGCCCCAACTCACACTTCAAGACACAACTTTAAAACCATGTGCCCTCAGAAAGGTCCTTGGCTGGCCCAGTCCTGACACGCTGGCCCTGGGAGCATGATCAGCACTCCCCTAGTGCACTCATGGGGAACACCCCCCACAGCATGCATGCCTGAGGAAGGCTTCTTAGCTGTGCCCAGTACTGTCCATCATGGGGGTGGAAGTTCAGGGCAGAATTCTGGGGTTCCACTGAAGGGCAGCACAGGCATGAGCAGAGGCTTCCCTACCAGCAACCAGCTTATTCACCCTCACTCTAGCAAACTAGTCCAAGGAAAGTACCTTCACCTTTCTATTGGGTCAACCCACCACCCCACAGCCTCCCAGGGTGACACTGTCATTGCCTGTTTGTCAGGCAGGTTCCCCCACCCAAGCTGGGGCTGGACAAGAGGGGCCCAGCCCTGATGTGACACCACAGCCCCAGGAAAGGGGATGATGCCACCCACCTCCCCAGAGCCAGATGGGCAGGAATTTTCCCCTGGTGCCACACTGGCTGGGAAAGGGGGACAGGCCACAGGGCCCCCTCCAAAGCCTGTGGCTATGCTCATGAAAGCTCACATAAATAGGCACTATGAACCAAGACTGCACACTGGGAGCTTCCCCCACAAAGCCATCTGAAATTCACTTGGTTCTGTCTCTTGTAAGTGAAGAGCCCACGGCAAGACATTCCCCTCTTTGTGCCTCCTACACCAGGATAGGAATTCCTGCCCTGCTGCCACCTCAGGATTGCTGGTATGACCTCAGTGCTGAGGAGGCTTGGACAACCTAGGAGACCATCAGGGAGATTCAGGCCCCAATCTTTCCTAAAACAGTAAAGAGATGCTTGCCATGAATGCAAGCTTGGCACAGAGCAGAGAACTGGCCACTGTGGGTTAATATTTTAATATTCTCAAACCCAGGGAGGGCAGGAATGTATCTGTTTTA